TCGTCTTTTATCCCTACTGTTTTCTCAAACAAACTTCGTGGCTCGCACACCAGCCACCATCGCAAAGCACGTCCTCATTACTGAGTAAAAACCTAAATAAGAACCCCGAGACCCAGAAAGAGCGCTGCAGCGGCGGGCGTGCAACACACACCCGTGACACAGCCGCCCTGGGCTAGCGCAACACCTCAATAATCCGTTGCTGCCAAAATCGATAAAACTAAAAAACGACGACTCAATCAGCCAAGCATCCGATAATAATGAAAAAACGTAGAAAACACATTGCCAAAAGCGTCTACTTTATACTGCATCCATGAAAAGCCCTGTAACTTCTCGCCACGTGAAGGTACTGCTTGGGCAGAGACCTTCCAGCTCGAGGAGAAACTGCGCCAGCTTTCTTGTGCAGCAAAAATTCCTTACAACTCCGGCGTGGCACAATCAATTTTGCAGCTCGCACCCGATGCACGGTCGAACAGACTCAGGGCGTCTGAGCGGGTGTCACTAATCATGAGCCGCGGCGGTGCGGGTGGTCGGTACGACGACGCAACGGTGGTGCCTGAGGCGTACGACAATAACGTTATGTCGTGAGGCTTCTGCGTATCCTCGTCGTTCCCCTCGCCATCGCGAAGCAGCGCCTCCAGCCCTCCACGCCGCGGCTCGCGCAGCTCCTGCCAGTGGCGGCCCTCCGCGTACCACACAACAACACTGTACACAGTGATCGCAAGCAGCACAGTCGTCAGCAGCAGCACCGTAGCCGCGTACGCCCTCGCTCCGCCGTCGCTCGGCGCAAGGTGGTTGGCCGCGCTGACCACGCACAGCGCCGCAAGGAGCACAAAGCTCGCCGTGTGCATCACCGTCAGGAAGGCCGAGCGCATCATGTTCGTGAAGGCAACCACGCCCGCGCCCGCAACCAGCACAGCCGCCATGCAGAAGTACAGGACGTGGCAGCCTCCCACGGGCGGGTGCACAGCCGCAATCAAGCACACCACACACAGCACCGACAGCTGGAACACGCACCAGTACACGCGGCTGCCCCTCATGTTCGTCAGCATGCCGCCGTACATCCGCTGCTGCGCCGCGGGGTGCCAATATCCGACGGGGTACAGCAGGCGCTCGTGCAGCGGCTTCCTCGAAAACTGCCAGTACTTCGTGAAGCTCGCGCCCACGTGGCGGGCAATGAAGTAGCACACGCCAGCAGGGAACGCCACACCGTACAGCACGCCAACGA